CCTGGAAATTCAGGGGTGGATGGCTTACTAAGTGCAGGAGATACCCCGCAGTCAGATTTATTTTACACCTTTTACATCTGTCAGAGTGTCACAGTCTAAAGCCAAATTTTGTGTTATTACAACATATTTGCTTCTATAAATTTGAACATCAGGTTATGTGTTATGTCATAGTTTAATTCTGCAGTGCATAATTAAACTATGCATCACCGTAGTGATGCATAACTGCATCAGTTTCGTGTCAGTGACATAGAGGAACAGAAAAAAGGTACCCTGGATATTTGAACTTTGAAGTTTTCTGCTAATTCATTGGAGAAAACCTAAAAAAGTGAGTTTTGTTTCAACTCTGAAGGGTCATGCCACCATGTGGGACGGGAGGCTATACTGGAAAATTATTTTGGCACAGAAGTAACCACGGTTAGGGAAGCACCTGGTTTAGAAAATGTAAAAAGGAGACCTTTCTTATGTTTCTTGTTTCTCCTCGCGTGAACTAAAACTGCCAGAGTCTGTAGGGAAGGGAGTTTATTGTTTGTGAGCACAGAAAGCAGATAAAGAATTAAACTCTACAAGCAGTTTCTGTAGTGTTTTTGTGTCCGAGAAAAACCTGCAGGAGTTGTTTAATTCAGTGCGAGTATTTATAACTGAACTTTGAGCCATTTTAATCAAACTTTGAGATGTTTCCAAAATGGAAATCTCTGTGAATCATTTTTTTTTTTTAAAGCCAAGTGGTCCATGGATACATGTGATGACATATATTAAAAACATGGGTATTTCGTAGCTTTGAAATTTAAAAAAATAAAATCTGGCATGTAAGTAAAATCAGCCAGAAACATTTGTAGGTTTCAGCTTTTAAAATGCGATGCCTTTTCCTCACATGTATGATACTAAACTGTGGTTTGGACTGTTGTTCAAACTAAACAAGAGCCAAATGTAACAGAATGGACATTTTTCTCTTTTTGTTTCTGGGATCAAGAGAAAATAAAGGGCAAAATGTCAGCCTTTATTTGTTGGAGACAGCAGGAGACCAGTGATTCAATAAATGCCTTCACAGACCTGCTTCTTTAAACTTGCCTTTCACAGAGGGCTTAAGTACTGTGTTGTGTTTTCTCTTGATTGGCACCTTGATTTGAGGCTGTAAGGTAAACCCTGGAGTAAATGTCTGATTCTTGCTCTAAATAACCCGCTGCTGTCGTCCTGTTTGGTCAAAAGGGTGGAAAGCGCTTTCAGTCAGCTGCTAAAAGATCAGAAATTTGATGCTTTTATCACAAAAATGTCTCCAGCTGAGTTTAAAACCTACTGGGAGAGTTACGTCAGAGTATCAGCTTTGTGTCGCTGCCAGTTCTCCTCCAGGTGCACCCGCTGTGGTTTTCTGGTTTGGCATCGTGTTGGTCCAGACATTGTGGTATGCTACGGGTGGGAAATCAACTCTAGCAGCGACGTGCCGGTAAAAGCTTTCTGAAGCTGCTGATGGTTAAGGGGGGGGGGGTGTCAATGAAAGGGAAAATATTTTGCAGAGTATTTAAAAAAAGGTTTTAATAAATGTATAAACTGCTGTGTGTGAGAAGAAGTGTGGATCTGATTCTGTTTCCAGAGAACGCAGTTCCATTCCATTGCAAACGTCGGCGACGTTTTCCTTTAAAAGTTTTTAATAATTTGGTTTTTTAAAATATATTATTTTATCTGTCAGTCTTTCTCTATATATAGATATATCTTATAGAGTTTCTTTTATTAATGTGTACTTTTGACACATTAATGCAGAGCTGTCATCACCACTATGGTGGTATCATCATCATATTTTTGCAAAATGGGCTTTAATTTAAGTTTACATTGGTTCATTTTGTGAGGTGCAGATATCTAATATAAAATATCTTAAATCTAAACGTTAATTTTTTTTACATTGATTTATTATTATTTTTAATCACTTTATTTAAAAATACAGTTCTTATAATTGCTAAATATTATATTAATACGATATTTTGCAATTGTATAGAAGTAGCATTATTGTTAATCTTATAATTGTTTTCTTTATTTTAATTATTATCATGTTTTTATTTATCCATTTAAAACATTTTAATACTATTAAATATATTTATTAATGTAAATGCAGTTCTAATGTTTTGATTATAAATATATT